GCTCCTCATAGGACATTCCTTCCAGCTCTTTCACCAGCTTTGTTGCCTTCCTCTGGATGCATTCAAGGACCTTAACATCCTTCCTAAATTGTGGGGCCCAGAACTGCACACAATATTCAAGGTGAGGCTGCCACAACGCTGAATACAGCGGGATGATCACCTCTTTTGACTGTCTGGTTATGCTGTGTTTGATGCACCCCAGGATGCGGTTTGCCCTCTTGGCTGCCAGGGCACACTGCTGACTCGTATTGAGCCTGCTGTCAACCAGCACCCCCAGATCCCTTTCTGCAGGGCAGTCAGTGTTTGGTACATGGCTTATTGGGTAGTATAAAAATCTTTCGTTGGGGGTAAGTTGTTTGTTTCTTTGTGGATTTTTTCCATGGTGCTCATGATGGAAAAGTGTGAATAAAAATACTCCTCTTCTGTCTTTAAAACCTCTGCTTCCATTTTAGAAGAAATGGGGAAGTATGTTTAATAAATCAACTGAGAAAATAGAGGAAAAGGTGGTATTCTTTATTTTTTCCTGATTAATATAGATTCTGTTCTTTATAGTACCATTTAAGTATACCTACATTATAGCCATGAGGTAGAATTTCACCCTATGTTCACGTAGTCAAGGTAGTTTTAATCTGGCTATTTATATCAGTAACAACACAGCTGTTAGGACAGAGGTTATATAAATCCATTGAAGGCTGTGACTGATTGCTTGAGCAGCAAATTTGTTCTAGTTTCTTCCCCAAGTGGAGCTCCTGAGGGAGAAGGAGAGTTAGGTAATAGGCCACATGCTGCATTGCAGTTGGTCTGGCTCCCTCTTACCTCTTCTCCTCTTACGGTCAGACGATGTAACTTCTGTTGGACCTCATAGTATATGCACATTTCTGGTAAAAAGTTTCTTTTAAAATGAAATAAAAATATTAGTTATTGCTAACCTGTCTAAATCTGAAACAGTTTCACTGAAGAAAAGTCCAGGGTCTTGCGAGCCCAACCTACTCCTGTGTTTGGGTTTATCAGAGTGTCTAAAAGATTCCTAGGTTCCAGTGAAATCCCAGGTTGAAGAGCTGGATCTCTGAATCATGTGTTAATTTGGCTCTGGCTGCTGGATCCTTGCCGGGGTCAGTGTTTAGTTACAGGTGGAAGCGGCTTTTGGGGTCTTTCCTAAAGCTATAATCTCCAACTGTCCTACTTCCTACTTCCGTTTCCTTGTAGGAAACAGCTGCTGACTGATTGGCCTGTCTCCTTCTGGTACAACATATGCCTCTTCTAAAATGGTCATAGGCTGGCGGGTCTCTCCGCTGGAATGGAGATTAGAGTACTGCATGAGATGTTTCCACTGCTGAATTAAAAAAAGCCGAAGAACTGCTTTAGAAAGATTAAAAATATTTGTATCAGTATTTATTTTAAGGAAAATAGTAGCCAGTATTTGTATGGGAACTACCTCTCTGCAAGTACCAAATCGCTCATACTGAATTGGCAACATACCTATTAGGCCACGTTCTGAAATTCTTAATAATGGTGGTGAAGAATGCAGTGATCTCAGGGACGAAAAAAGATCATTGCCCTTGTTTGAATCATCCTTTATATTTCCTGCTGCCAAGTATTTGTCGTGATACAGGCACCATGATTGTCTTTCATTTACAATTTTATTACATAGACTTTCCAGTCAAGGCTATATTGTATGGGAAAACACTTAATTTTTACTTTTTTTGACCATGAGCAATTAAAGTGTATTTTAGGCCCAGTCTAGGCTAGGGTTGCTTTTTTCATCAGTAAGATTTTGGAAATAAAACATGAATATATGATGTCTCTTGTAAAATTTTAAATAAAAAAAAAATGAAGCCTGGACTTAAGTTATTTGAATGTTCCATTAATTTTGTTTTCTCCAGGGTAGAAATAGCCCTGTAATTATGAACTATCCCCATAATATGTTCACAAAACTATGAATAGTGGAAGTTATGCTTTGGTCTCTTTCTGTTATGCATCACTTGCTAGATCAGTTTTATATTAGTAATTTTTGTGGGTTTGCATTTGTTAGAGCCATAGTAAATTTGTAGCATTTTCTATATCTTCTTGAACGCATGGGAGGAAAGAAGTGCCTAGTATTAAATATGCAATGTAAAACTACATCTTGTTTTCTCTAGGAGTGAAGATGAAGAACATGTTAAAATAAAAGATTTCAGGTACTAATTTACAATAAAAGTACATTTTGCTAGTAAATACTAGGATTTACAATAGTAAAATATGAGTTTGGGGGGAACGTTCATTAAAACTGTCAAGTATTTGTCAGTAAACTTTTCCTTTTTCCCCCTAAATGTATAGTAATTTTCAGAGCGTCCTTGAGGATTTTATTTTCTGCTAATTTTAATGAAAGTTATATTGCAGAATATCTCAGATGGTTTAGCAAAAACCTGACGATAAAATTTTCATTGTGAGAATTAAATGCAGTACACTCAAGTCATGTATAAAGGGAGGAGCTGGTCCTCAATCTGTATGAATTTGAGAATTGTTTTTTCTAGATTTATCTACACTTGGAGGTATTTAAAATTTATCCCACATGAAAATGGATTCAGCTAAAGCATGGCAAAGAATTCTTGTTCTGGAACAAGTTTTTGTATAGGGAATTATTCAAGGTTTGCCATTGCACTTTGAATTTGCATCTTACCTGAATCCAAATGGAAATTCGCATAAAGCACTTGTAAGATTTGAAATGTTGTGTGACTGAATGCATTCATGATTCATCCAGACAAATACTTTAAACTATAGACAGGCCACTTAGTAAAACTAGAGCTGTTTTATAAAGTTGCTTTAAAATAAAAGTGTCTTTCATTTGTCATGAAAGCAGAGATGTCAAAGCAGAAATATATAATCCACTCTGCTGTCGAAAGCAGCATTTATACAGCATGCTAACTAATAATTATGAAGTGTTCTTGTAATTTAAATTAAATGGAAGAAATGAGTGTGTTCCAAAATATATTTACAGGTTTTTTGTTTAACTCCAAAATTCATGTTTTTTCTTTACTGGGTATCCCAGATTGCTATACAAGATTGTTTTGTATATTGCTTTAATAATTTCATGTTGTATTGTTATTTTTTTTTCCTTAAGTTTTGATTCATTAATTGGAGGAAAAAAAAAATAATTAGAAGACACTTTGAAGGTTTGTTTTACAGTTATCTCCCTCCAGTGTTTCTTTTCACAAGCTTATTGGAGAACTTGCTTTTTTCTCCCTTACCCTTTGTAACTGGGGAACGTTACAGCAGGCTTTTTGAATCATCCAGTCATCACCTGAATTTCTGCATCCACCTGTTCAGGTTTCTATAACTTCTTATTGACTCTTAGAGATGTGGAAGATTGTTCTCTTCCCAAAATGTTTGTGTCTGTCTTCCTGAGGTTCACTGTTCAAGGAGCATATACAATATATTACTTGACTGTTCCTACCTGACACGAAGGAAAAGTTGGGTGAACCTGTAGAGTTGAGAATAACTGATAAAATTAAATTCTGAAAAAGGCTTTAGAGAGAGAAAAGCTAATTGCTTGGATGAATGACCCTGAATTATTTGTGTGGAGAGGGGATTTATTTTGGGGACAAATAAAAATAGTAAAAGATTAGGTCTTTAAAACTGTAGTTTGTTCTTTTTCAACAGGCCAGATGTAGTTAACTTTATTACCTTTAATGCTTTCTGTCACAGTATGCCTAAGAGGAAGGGTTTTGGAGATCAGTTAACCAAAGCATGTTGTCCCTCGGTTTGGTTAACTACCTCTGTGTCTGGTCTCAGTCAGAAAGGAAAATAATCTTCATTTTAATTGAGTGGCTAGCTTGTCTTCTGGGTAAGGAGGGAATAGAATGAATTAAACTTTTCTTGATCTGCTAGAGGATGTTAGAGGGGAGGAGATCAGCTAGAAAAGCTAACATACTCCACTAGAAAGAATTAAAGAAAAAGTGACCTGAGGTATAAACATATTTGTGATGTGCACTGTCATGTGCCTTAGAAGGGGTTTTCTGATGAAAACTGTCCAAGAAGAAAAGATCTCTTTCTGTGGTTGAGCTCTTGGACAGAGGCTTACCAAGAGATGAAACACAAGGTGTGCACAGAGGCTGAAACCCTTTCTACCACCTTATTGGGTGAATGACGGGGAAAGCTTTCTGAAATACCTCTGGTGAAATTAGATGAGGCATAACTTTTTTCTTTCAGTTTCCACTATATCTTTTATAAGCACATATAAATGTATTGTCTGTTGCTTGTGCTGTGCTATGAATAAATGCTTGTGTTTGAGTCTGTCTTCAGTCTGAGTAATTTTTAAGGTAATGAGATAACAAGAAGACATGGATCATCTCAGATTGTTGTGAGTTTGCATAAAACAGTTCAGAGATGCTTTAGCAAGTGCTTAGAGTGTTCTTTGTTTAAAAAAAAAAAAAGTAGCAGAATGAATACCCCATCTTAGTTACATAGGCCAGGTAGAGACAGGGCCAGGGAGCAGAAATGTGTTCCAGTGATTACTAATGACATCAAAAGTTCTCTGGTATACAGTAAGGTGTCAAGGTATTCACTTGGACGTCAAGGGTCACAAGAAGAATTTAACTTTTAGAAGTCTTCATAGCCTCTTGTTCCTGCCACATATAATCAAGTTGTTGCTTGAGATATTTTTTCCCCTCAATATTTCACATCATTATTGTGACCGCTTCTGCTTTGTTCAAGTGAATCCAATTCAATTGTCAAATACAAGTAGTGTATGAAAAACTGTTTCAGTGCAGTAGTACTTCTTGTGATATGTTCCATTCCCAAAATTGAATTGATTAATACTATGGGGAAAATCATGTGTTCTACATCGTTCTTAAAATAATTTTTCTCCTTAGAGAGGCTCACAGTCAAACAGAGAAACGAAGAAGAGACAAAATGAATAATTTGATAGAGGAATTGTCTGCTATGATACCTCAGTGCAATCCCATGGCACGAAAGCTAGACAAGCTTACAGTGTTACGGATGGCTGTGCAACACTTAAAATCTTTAAAAGGTGGGTTTTGGGAAACTAATCCTGAAAGTCCTGGTTCTAGCAGGAGTTATACTGTGTATCTTCTTTGATGTTAAATAAATCAAAGGTCGTTTATTTTACGTTTCCTTACTTAATTCAGTTCCGAGTCTGTTCTTCATTTAAATTTACATGTTTGTAGCTTCCAGAACTTAAATTCTTTTTTTTGCTTAGTATAGCCGAAAAAAAGCCACCCTTCAGTGTCTGATATTTTCTGTCTGCTAAGGGTATGCCTTGTGACTGAGTCACTCCTTGAATCTTTTTTAAAATTACAGCGATCAAGCAAGTCTGTCTTTCATTATTTTCCAACCCCCAAATTAAATGTGTGTTCTCTGATCTCTCCACTTTCCATCATACTTTCTGTAACAGTAGTATCTGTGGTGCTGTACCGATCTACTGATACAGCTGTAGTGCTAATAGAGAAGCAAACGGTCTTCATACTCGTGTTTGTTATTCTCACATTTGTGAACCCTTTGTCTCTGTATTGGAATTTCATGTTTATATGTTGACTTTGAAATTTACAACATCATGGAAAAAGACCATTAAAAAAAAATGCTTACCTGAAGAAACTGATGTAAGTAGTTCACTGGTAGGGAGCACAGAGAACTCACTTCAGTGATAGGTTAAGTCTTTTACAGTGTAACTTCATAAAACCAAAACCAGTTGCATAAAACTAAAGAAAAAATTACATTTGGACATAATGATCTTTCAAACTTATTTTTTTTGCCTGCAAGAACAGTAGTCAAAAGGAATATTTCAAGACAAAACATACTTTAAGAGAATGGTTGATGACTTCGATTACATTAAAGTCTTAAACACCATGAAATGTTAGAGAGTACCAAGAAGAAGAGTTATCAAAAATTTATATCCTCAGTCAGCTAGCAAAGTTAATCATGGATCTCAGTGAATGGTTTAGTGTCAGGATCAAACCAAGATATATTCTTTCCTCTCCTTTTGCTATAGCTAGATTTTGGGATTTTTTTTTTTCTCCCCTAAAAAAATTATATTGAAATACAAGTTGCATATTGCATAGTCTATCAGCAGCACACAAGATTTCGATTTTTTTGGCAGCACTGTTTCAGAATAATAATTTGGTCAACTGTAAGCAAAGATCAAAAGCTATCTGCATTGCAAAAAAATTGATAATTGAATAAACATATGTAATAAGAACCCCATTAGTCTTAAGTCAAAGGAGTGTAGGAAACAAATTATGCTACTAACTTGACAGTAGTAGAATCATAGAATAATGTAGGTTGGAAAGGAATTCTAGAGGCCCGTTGGCCCAAGCAGGCTGAGAATTTTGCGTAAAGAAATAATGTGACAAATTAGGAGGGCAGCAATTGCACCTACAGTTTAAACAAGCATCTACAAGAAATCTTCAGCTCAAACATTTGTATTTTAACAATAGGATATGAAAACTGGACTCCATCCAGCACAGTTATCGTATGTATCTTCAAAACAAATGCTTTAAGAAAATACAAGATACTATGTGGAATTATAGTGAATGCTGAAATTTGCTGGAAAGTACAACTGCTATTTACAAAAAAAAAAAAATCTAGAAGAAGTTGTGGAAATGCTTGTAATAGCTAAAAATTATTTTAGAGTACTTGCCACGGGTGCTAGAATGGTAAACGTAGTGAGTCAGTCTCATTACATTTAATGAGACATTAAATTTAACTACAATAGAGTGTTTTTTGGATTGTTGGATATATAGTACTAATGAAGCATTATTCATGACAGTTGATAACATTGGAAGTATTCAGATTCAGCAAATGTTAAGGATTCTGAAATAGGCCTACGAAATGTTTCTAGAAAATTCAGTTCTCATAACACCATTTTTCTAGCAGTACATTAAAGATATCTGAACAGAAGTTTCCTTGTTTTATGCTAAATAAAGGGCAAGAAAAAACTGGTTGTGTGCCCATATTCATTACCAGCATATGTTTATGAGGTTTTTTTGTTTTTAATATTTTTAGAATTTTTAAATTTTTTTCATTCAGCTGTTGTGGTTGCAAAGAAAATTTATAAAATACAAAACAAGTATAACTCTGTTAAAAGTAAATTTAAAATGTAACTTTTGACATTATGCCTACAAATAATCTATTTTCCAGGTTCCACTAGCTCCTATACAGAAGTCCGGTATAAACCTTCATTTTTAAAGGATGATGAGCTCCGACAGTTAATCCTTAGGGTAAGTGGAAGGAAACTCTCGCTTAAATGATATCCTTATTAAAGCTTGCTATTACCTTGAGTTTTTAGTTGGAGAGTGCTTTTTTTCCCACCTTTTTCTTCAAGCAAGTGCTTTGATGTACTTGATAATTACTGGTTTATAAACGCTGTACACTATACATGCTTTTTCATAAAGGGGTACAGAAGATGATTTGTGAGCATGGCAGACAGTAGCCCTTGAAGGGATAATAAATCTGTACACAATCAGCGTATTTAATACATAAAAATTTTTATGTTGATATTGAAGTCTGCATGCAAGTATAGAGAATGCTTTTAATTACGCATAAATATACTTGCAATTGTTTGCTTGCCTTCATTTAAAGTTTTAAATATGTACTTTGAAAAAGATGCAGAAATAATACCTGAAAGAAAATCTTTCTTGTTTTCGCACTTCGTCATATACCCACACCCCTTTACCCTTTCTCGTTTGCAACTATTTTCTTTTCCCTTTGCTGCAATAACAGACTTTGCCAAGATCTGTAAGATGACTCCCAAATTAAGCTGTTTTGCAGCTGGCCTCCTCTTTTCCCAAAGCTCTGGTCTGTATTTGAAGGTCTGATTTGGTCCTTGCAATCTTAATTGCTTTTTGGTGTGATTTATAACTTAATTAAAAAAATCAGGTTTAAAAGTGTGCTTCCTTGTAGTCATCAATATTCATTGTATATTTTAATTGTATGTTTTTAAAGACAGTATCTTTGCATTTTCAGGCTGCAGATGGATTCCTATTTGTGGTTGGATGCAACAGAGGAAAAATTCTGTTTGTCTCAGAATCAGTTTGCAAAATACTTAATTATGATCAGGTGGTTTTAACTGAGTTTCTTGGTTTGCTTTTACCTTGCATTTTCTTAGAAATTTTTAAACTTTTCCATTTTATTGCATATTACTAAAAAACAGTCCTTGTGTATCATTTCTTGGAATTTCTGTGATTTAACCTCCTTCAGAGTAAGGCTGAATGTCCTGGAATGAAATATTTGCAAGTACAGTCAGTGTTCCTGACCTGAGTAATAGCACCAGATTTCAACTGATCATCCTTAAGAAACCTGCTAGTCTGAGAGGAAGGGATAAATTGAAGATGCCCTAATTTCTATCTCCAGGAGATTTTCTTTTAAATGGTGAAGTGATTTGGGGTTTTTTTTTAGGCCAAGGAAAATTGGTAGTTCAGCAGTGGAAGTTAATTAAAGCTTTCCTTGGTAATGCCTTTATGCTCAGATGCACTACATAACACCTCATCCACAATAACTATCCGTGTATATACTCTTAACTCGAAGGAAACTGATGTAGTGTGAATTAGCTTAGCCTGCAGAAAAAGAGAAATAGGAAAAATATAAGTACCTTCCCTTAGTTGACATTTAACATCATGGACAATTACCACAAATAATCAAGGCATGATAACTTGTTTGTGTATCTATGTATGACTTCTGTTCCAAAAACAGAGGCTGAAACAGTTAGTGCTTCCATCTGTCTACTTCTATAACTTTGAAACCATTTGTGCTATGTTCATTTTCTTCAAAACGGAAGGGTAACCAGTTTGGACTCTGTCTTATAGATTTATTTTTATTTTTTTTTAAAAAACCCAAAACTATATCTTTTTAAATTAAAGTGAAATGAATCATCTTATGGGAACAAGCATAAAGCAGATTTTTTTTTTTCTTTAAACTTCTACACTGAATTTACTCAAGGACATCAGACATACCTACTTCCAGACCCATAAGATCTTCACTACTCCAGCCAAAGAGGTTCAGAGAACGTGACTGACTTAACCCATGAATTTATTAGCTTATTTGGGAATCATTCTAGGTTATGAATCCCATCCTGCAGCCTAATCTGTTACACCTATGTATTTTGACAAGGCTGCTATTAGCCTTTCTCAGTGGCACTCAGCATTTTCCCTTTGCGTTAGGGTTAGATGGGGGCTGGGCAAATGAAAGAGGCTGTATGTTTATCCTGCTTTCTTAGCTTTTCATTAAACCCATTTCTGACTCTGGCTTATTGGAAAAGTGCTCCTCTTTATGTATGCAGTGATCATATAGCAAGTGGCGTGGGTCCAAAATGAGTTGCAATTTGAATCTAGAATACTGCTTGTCAGCAGAGCTCCTTTCTACCTATTGATTTGACCTGCTGTGGTGAAGGTAAGCAATCAAAAAACCCAAACTAGCCCAATTCTGTGAGAATTCCTTCCTGTTTCAAAAGAAAGTAGTGCTGCCTACAGCAGTGCAGCAGACCAGTTACTTTGCATCAGCAGAGTCAGCAGGTTGAATGGATCCCAGCTAGAGAGATTTGTGTAAATATCCCCTACTAAGGAGTGCTGAAGCGAGCTGACCCCTGCTTCCAACAGCTCAGTGGTGCCATTTCATCCAACCAAATTAGAGCTCAGTCATTAGGTAGCATGAATATTTCTTCCTATTTCCCTACCTCCCCACCCCCCCAATAATCTGTGAGTGGAGTTATTTTGTGCGTAACCTTCTTTGGCTAGGATCAGGAATCATGTACATAAATAAAACATTCGGTTTTACAGAACTGTTTTTTAATATCCAACTAAATTGCTATTTTGCAAAGGGGAAGTAACAAATTATGGTTTTACTACCCTGTTTTTATAAAAATAATATTAAACAATGGCAAATAAACGTGGATCAAAATGTTGATGTTTAGAGTAATTCTGGTATTTGACTTTTTTTTTTCTTTAATGGTGTAGAAAGTTGCTTTTCTGAAATAAGTAATACGTATGGGGTCCTGTTCTAAAATGATGTGGTTCTTATATCTTTTGGTTTTGGTGTTTTGTTTTTTTTTTTAACTAGGCCAGTTTAATTGGACAAAGTTTGTTTGATTACTTGCATCCAAAAGATGTTGCAAAAGTTAAGGAGCAACTTTCTTCTTCGGATATCTCCCCTAGGGAGAAGCTCGTAGATGGGAAAAGTAAGTCATATTTGAATGTGCTCAGATTTTTTTAAAGAGATGTTAATAAATTTAGTTATTATGCAGGACATATGTGTTCGTATGTGCATGGATGTACAAACTTGAGGTATAATTTCTATGAACCAAACATATTTGAATGCTTATCTGCTGCTTAGAATGCACTTACAGTTTAAAAGCTAGCTCAGAAAAGAATTTATTTTAGATAATAAGAATGACTGAAATTTGCATTGTTAAACATTTACAAAGATGTGGTTTGACATTCTTCCTACCAGGCATACTACTTTTTTTTCTTGTATTTGATAGGTCTTGTCAATACAAAAGGCCTGATGTAGTCGAACATGGGATAAAATACTTCAATATCAAGAATCACTGTCTTCTCTGAAAATGCTAAGTGTCAATCCTAATTTAACCAAATCTTGTTTACAGTTATTTCTGATATGGAAAACATTATGTACTGTGCAGCTAATCACTATTTTATAGCTGGCTTTTATAAGCATCTTTGCAGTTCTTCTTTGTACCAAATAGAAGTTGAAAGTTTATAAAGTGTATTTATTAAAATACCATTCAAAATATCAAAAAGGGTTTAAAAATAGTTTGGTAGTTCTTTTTAATTTTGGAGTCTGTGTGATAGTCCCGTTTTCTTTGCCCTATTTAAGTTATTAGACTTTTTTCATTTTTAATTGTAAGGACAAAATTTAGGCAACTAAAGAATAAGGAGAATGTGCTGGAAGCTAAAATGAAGAAAAGGCCTTGTATTCTGAAGTTTTATTGTTGGATTTTGTTTTTTTAACTACTTTACTAAATTTCTGTAAGCTGGCTTGCAAGTACACACAGATTTTCAAGGTGGACCAGCTCGACTGAATTCTGGTGCTCGACGTTCCTTCTTCTGTCGGATAAAATGTAGTAGGACCACAGTCAAAGAAGAAAAGGAGTGCTTGCCCAACCCAAAGAAGAAAGGTATTCAAACAGTGTAGATGAAGTGGGGGCTTTCTGTCTTGAAACTTGGTATATTTAAGTTCCAAGTCAGTAGTGTGACCCTTGTAGTTACCGCTGACTTCACAAGTGTAGAGAAGTGTAAATATGTACTGGAGACACATTTTGAAAAACAGTCTAATTGTACTCTTTTTCCTCCCTATTCACTCCTGGAAAAGAGGGAGGGAGGAACCTGAGTTACAGTGGCTGGTTAGGAGTGTACGGTCTGTTGTAGTCAAATTTTAGAAGTCTCAGGGAAATTTTTGAAAGCACTGGAACAGACCAGAAGAATGAAACTAACTAACATATGTCTTGAAGATAACTGTGAATGAGGCCTGCAAAATCTACTGTTTTGAAGGAAAAAAAGCAAGTAAACTAACTTTTTTCCCCGATTTACTTTTTGTGTTGTATGTACTTAAAAAGTATGAGTTTTCCTTTTTTTGCTTTTAATAGTAAAGTTATCAGAGTAATTCCATTCATTTTTCCAATAATTTTAATTTAGTTCCTATTTTGGTATGCCTGTACAGCAGTATAGTCTTGTCAAGTTTTCAGTGAATGGATCTTTTTAAAATGTAATTTCCAGCTTTTATTTAATACCTTAGTATTGATTTTTGCAAAGGTGTGCTGAAATTGTAGGAGGATTTTTTCAGGGTCAAACTTTTGTTTTTCAATGTAACCTGTTATTGCTGAGATATACCATACAATAGCAAATCTTAAAATAGGTGTGTCATTGTAAGTAAATAGAATTCAGTCTCCCTTGATGTGCCAACTAACTTAGTGAGATAAGAATTTAACTTGTATAAATGTTTCTCAGGAAAGCAGTATTGAGGGAAGGCACCTTGTCAATCTGGGAAACTGTGACAAAGTCACAGTAGGATAACTCCGTTTTTCATTTTACAGAGTAGTTATATGTTTTCCGTGGTTGATAGTGTTAATGCAGTCAAATCTATGTAAAGCATAATTTGTTCAGAATACAGATATCAAGAATACTTTGGTAATTTTTTGAAAGATAGTTACTGTAGGACACATAATGTCATCTCTATGCCTTGATGCGTATGAGGGTGTTTCGATGTTACATAGGCAGCAAAAAGTCTACCAGCCATAGGAATAAATGACAGTGTATACTGTGATTTAAGACTTTTAAAATATTTGTGTTCCCAGAAAATTGAGGAATTTGGAAGCCTAAGATAAATAGAAAATAAGCTGGGTTGTTTTGCGTTGTTCTCTCGACTGATTCTTTTAGCAATTGCAGTAAGCGTATGTTAAGATCATAGTGTTCACAAAAGGTACATTGATTTGGAAGCTACAGAGTGCCTTTCTAGTTTAGTTTAATTTACAATGCACGTGATACAACATAAAGAGAAAGTGATCTGTGGGTTACCAGACTGTTGGTTTACTTTTTTTTTCTGTGAGACTGTCTTTGAACTGCCAACACCTATAACTTATCTTCCTAAATCTTATATATGGTTAGAAGTGCCCTCTCCAGGTAAGCCAAAATGAAGTAGTATGAAATGAATTTAAAAAATACTCTGTAAAAGTACCTATAGCCTTGTACAGTTGTTGTAGGTAAGCATAAAGTATAGTTGCTGGTCTCATGGTGAACAGAATAAAAAAAAAAAGTAATTCAGTTTACTTTTGAACCATAACTGCTTCTTATTTCATTTATTTTTATTAGATCACAGAAAATACTGTACCATTCACTGTACTGGGTATATGAAGAATTGGCCTCCTAATGAGGTGGGAGTAGAAGAGGAAAATGATGTAGAAAAGGACAGTAGTAACTTTAACTGCCTTGTTGCAATTGGGAGGTTACACCCTTATATTGTTCCACAAAAGAGTGGAGAGATAAAAGTCAAAGCAACAGAATTTGTTACACGATTTGCCATGGATGGAAAATTTGTTTATGTAGATCAGCGGTAAGCATTTTGTTCTTTAATGAAGACAATATGAAAATGACACCACTAGTTAAATTTTCTAGTACTTTCTGTCAGAAGTGTAATTTCTCAAGCATGATAGAATTTCTAGGTGCTGTACACAGGAAGCAGTTCATTCTGAATTCTATGAGTACTTGGGCTTTGTTTTTTTGTCAAACATAAAATGTGATGTATGAAAGTAAGTGTATTGTTCTATAGGAAGAGATGAGGTAACAAGATTAAAATATGTCGTAAAATGCACTGTTGTACTTATTTATTCATAAAGAAAAATCTCGTTAGAGCTTCATAGATATGCATGTGACTTAAGTAATAAACACTTAACCAAAAACTTAAGAACTTCTTAAAATCTTACTATTTGGAACACATACATTATATCTAAATATATTAGCCCTGAGTGGCTAATGGGAAGACCTAATGATCATAAATATTTTGTGTGTACATGTGGTTTGCATGTTTAAAAACTGTTATTTTGTCTTTGAATTGCCATTCATTGCAAATGGATAATTTGCAGTGAATAGTATTTCCTGTTTATTTAGAGCTATACTAATGCTGTATCTTTTTGCCAAACAGGAACACAAGCATCTATTTCTTTAAATATTAATTTTCTGCTTTATCTGATATTGAAGAAAACAAGCTTTGCAATTGTTTGAATCCATTGTAGTTCATGTTTTTATTTCTAACAGTGCAACAGCAATTTTAGGGTATCTGCCACAAGAGCTTCTAGGAACTTCCTGTTACGAGTACTGCCATCAAGATGATCACAATCATCTAGCTGAAAAACATAAAGAAGGTACAAAATAATTGGTCTTCCCAGACTACATGTAACTACATGCAACTGCGGTGTGAAAACAGTACAAATCAAAAAATCAGAAGCTGAGAATTAATAAAATCAAACAATCTTAGCATTGTCCTTTTCTACGTCTGCATTAAGACATGCCCGCGTAAAGCTTGTAATAAAAGCAGGGAGAAACTTCTGTTGTCTTGGATCTTGGTACAGTGCTTTAGTCACAAGGGAATAATGTTAAGGCTTCTTTCAGCCCCCTGCTTCAATTCTTTATAAGAATGAGGAAGGAGTCCTGAAGAGCAAATGTGCCTAATCATGTAATTAAAGGCACTGATTATGAAAGTTCACGAAGTCAGGAGTTTCTCTACTAGTGGTTTGCAGAAACTTAGTACTTGGGCTTTAATTTAAGACTAACAACATTGCTGAAACTGTAGTTTGATTTTAGCAGGGGTCCTGTCCTGTCACTTGTTCTGGCATTTAAGTTGTATTTCTGGCCATCAAAAACATTTTGGTTTTACGATGCTATAAAACAGATTTTTTTTTTTTTTTAAACTTTATCTTTCTAAGTATAAATATGGTGATTGCAACTTTCCTTTTTTATCTAGTGTTGCAGAATAAAGAAAAAGTATTTACAAATTCCTACAAATTTAGAGCAAAAGATGGGACTTTTGTTACTTTAAAGAGTCAGTGGTTTAGTTTCATGAATCCGTGGACCAAAGAACTGGAGTACATTGTATCAAACAACACTGTGGTATTGTAAGTAATTCACGATATGAATTCCCATGTTATTTTTTGTCTTAATTACAGTTAGTATTAACAGAAAGCAACCTGTTTAAGAAGCAGAACAAGACTAGAAAATATCAACACTGCACAAAAAGTGGTTGAGTAACCTGGAAGAACGTTTTTTTGCATTTATGAGTTATTTTTATTTCAGGCTTAAGTCATGGATTTAACTCTGAAAACTGTGCTATTTCCAGTGGAAAAAATGAGGTGAAAGAGTTTCTTATTAAAGGAAGAAGGGAAGGATCTTTTAAGAAAAGTAGATATGAATAAATGAAAATGTGAAGTTAGTTCTACTTTTTCTTCTGAGCTTTATATGACTACATGTGTCAGTTGACCTAGTTTTAAGTGCTACTCTACCTACCATGTGTCAGAATGTGGAGAAGCATAATTGATAGATCATAGAAATGCAAGGCCGGACAAAAAGATACTCTTCAAATTAATTGCAAGGGAGGAGCCTGTGAAACAGTAAATGTGTGTGTTTAATTCTTCGTTCTTTAATTCTTTTTCATTCTCTGTGCCTTGCAATGGAGCTATAATTTCAGTTGTTCCAATGATACTGAGGATCTTTGCGAATGACTGGGTTTTTGAGAGGGGGACAGAGGGGTTTTTATTTCCATTAAACCAAGTTGCCAAGGGGGCCTTTTAGCCATTCTGTAGCTGGTTCATGTGTTAAGTCAACATCTCCCACCTATTTTGCCCATGTCCTTTTTCCTCAAGAAGACAGAGAAGAGCAGTTAGAACAGTCTATGCTGCCCAACAGCCAAAGGCCACTTCTGCCTGCCCTGGAGATCTGGGCATCTGCAGCTGTCTAGAGGAGGGAAGGTAGCTGCTGACCTGTCCTTGTAGCAGTTGTTTCTGGTTAACTGGTATCCCTCCTAGGAGTAAAAATGGTAGCCTTGTTCTCTTGTCGTGGAACACAGGCAACTATATTGGCCTTTCTTCTTTATTTGGAGAATAAGTAAAAATTAATATTTCACTCAGTGCTTCAGAAACAACAGTACAAAGGATTGAATGTTGAAACGTGAGGAATATCTAATTTTTTTTACTAGTTTGAGGATGTTAGTTTTTACTCTGTGTAAAGTATTATTGAAATCAAATATAAATATGCTGGGCTTTGCCTTTGAAAAACTTGCTTATTTATTTATTTATTTAAATCTCAGAGGTCATAACGAGTCAGCTGAAGAACAGGTCCCCCATGGTTCCCAGCCTGCAGAAGGCAAGTGTTGCTTCTTACAGTTATGATAGGTGCATCTCCTGTTCAATCATTACAATTTTAGATTTATTCAATCCAGGATTTTTTTTATTCTAGGTTGTTGTCCAAGGAAGGATTTTCTTTTTTTTTTTTTTTAAAGCTAATTCTGGTGACAATTTCTAGTTACTCACAGCATCCTAATTCATATCATTCACATAACTGTGATCAGAAGGGCTTATCTTTTCCTCCTAGCAGCTTCTACTATAGCTAGGATTTTGGTTGACAGGCTATTATGCTTCTGTCACAGACCCTCTTCATATTTTGCCTGGTTTTCTGAAGAAATGCAATTGTACTATCTGAGTTTACCTATGGAATGTAGGGTGATACTGATACGTATTTTGTTAATATCTTTCTGCCATGCATAGATTCTGATTTCTACATGCTGTTTTGTCATCTTGCTATAAGGCTTTTTATTTTTGCTTTTGAAATTGTTCTTTTTAATAACTGATTTCAGTTTGTGAAAAATCCAAGGGTTTTTTTTCTCATGTGTTTTGCATTGTCTGTGAGAGAGACTGGAGGTGGTAATGATTAAAGTTAATTTCATTACTGGAGATCAGCAATTTTCACAAATATATTATTCACTTATCTTTGTATTTCAAATGAGACTTATAACACCCTCCCCCATGAGTTAGTGTTTTAAGGAATTTAATTTATGAAAATAAGAGATATAGAACAAAAACTGCTTTAAAATGAATCCTGAAGGTGATTGTTCCTTGCTGTGTAACGAAACTGCTACAAACTTAAGGTTTTATTTTGTTTTTTTTAACTGTAGATGCTGTAAAACAGTCTTTAGTAAGTGTACCTGGAATGTCCTCTGGAACAGTTCTTGGTGCTGGAAGTATAGGAACCGAAATTGCAAATGAAATACTAGAATTGCAAAGGTAATAATTGCTTAACATCATATATTAGGCTTTTAACTAAAGATAGAGAAGTGTTATACATGATTATGTGGGGGTTGTTCAAGTTTGATTTTTTTTTTTTTATTGTGTTATATGTATAAAATATTTTTAGTTTGAGCAGTGGCATTATGAGATACCAATTATAACCTAATGTTAGTCTCATGCATGGCAGAACACATCACTGGTGTTGATAAATAGTTTTGTTCTGGGCATGCAATTTCCATTGTTAATGAAAGTATTATTTAACTATGATTTCAAAAGCACTACTGTGGTGCAGCTTCTTCACATGATGTTGAAATGGGTAGATAAACCATTCGGGAATGGAAAATCAGTTGTCTGTGAGTAGTGTTTGTATTTTTCTGATGGCGTCGCTCTGCTAGGAAAACTTTCCTTGAAACAGTCCCCAGTGGAGCGCTTTCATAGCCTGTCTTGTCCCTTTCCTGATTATCCTGAACATAGACTAAAGTGATAGCACAATTCCTTCCCAGTACCCAGCCATAGATTAAAAAAAAAACCAACTCACTGCATCATTCCAAACGGGAATCCATACAAGATTCAAATTGTTAATTAAAGATTGACTCTTTTAAAACTAACTAGTTTTAGCAGGTACACAGCATAGCCAAGGAATTTGAAAGGAAGAAACATAATTTTAATGTGAAGATATCCTTATGTATTTTTTGTGTTGTGCACCCACAGTGGTGCCTGACTTGCTTATAGAGGGAGAGGTTATTACTCTATGTCAGTTTGCACTGTATCAGCGTTTGTTGTCTAAGAACTTTTTTTAAAAAGTCTCTGAGCCAGCTAATTCCAGGACTTTGGGATGCACATGCACAGAAAAAGTCTGTTTTCAGTCACAACTCTTTCAGGAATTAAGGCTTCATCAGAAGGTCCAACCACTTTTGTTAAGGTCAAATTTAGGATAATGGTACTATCATCTCATCAGCACAGGACAAGTTATCTAAGTGTTAGCTTTGGATGATGAAGCCATCCCTCAGACTTCAGATCTTATACTTCCAGTTCCAGGCAAAGGAATGCCAAGAAATTTTTTATGTCTGCAGAGCAGGGTGTTCCAAGGTCCCATGTAGTTCTTTCCACTAGCACTTTTGCAACTGGACCTGAAAGAGTAGTAATATTAAATCTTCCAGGAAGAAATATGCCAGTTTTGGCAACAATGGTAGAGGTATAAGGAATAGTTTCATATTACAGAATATCCTGAGTTGGAAGGTACCCATGAGGACTCTTGACTCTGCATGGGGCAACCTAAGGTTAAACCTTATATCTAAAAGTGTTGTCCAAACACTTCTTGAACACCGACAGGTTTGGGGTCATCACCACTTCCCTGGGGAGCTTGTTCCAGTGCTTGACCATCCTCTCAGTGAAGATCTTTTTCCTAATATCTTCCCCTGATATAGATTTAAGCCATTCTCCGCATCCTATCACTGAACACCAGAGAGAAGACATCAGCACCTCCCTCTCTGCTCTCCTTCATAAGGAAGTTGTAGACAGCAATGAGGTCACCTCTCATTCTCCTCTTCTGTAACCTGAACAAACCTAGTATCCTCAGCTGTTCTTATAAGTCATGCCCTTTAGTCCTTTCACCATCTTTCTTGCCCTCCTTTGGACACATTCTTATATTTTTATATCTTTCTTACATTGTGGAGCCCAAAACTGCACACAGTACTTGAGGTGAGGCCATGCCAATGCCGAGTCTAGTGGGACAATTGCTTCTTTCGACCAGTTAGCTATGCTGTGCTTAATGCACCCCAGGGTACCATTGTCCCTCTTGGCCACTGGGGCACACTGTTGACTCACATTGCGCTTACTGTCAACCAAACCCTCCAGATCTCTTTCTGCAGGGCTGCACTCCAGCCTCTTGTCCTCCAATCTGTACATACATCGATATGCTATAGCATAGTCAGCTTCTGCTGTTTCAGTAGTAGTCTGACTCATCAGCTTGTCTGTGAGGATGTTATGGGAAACAATGTGAGAAGCTTTAGTAAAGTCGAAGTAAATAACAGCCAATGCTATCTCCTCATCCACCGAGCTAGTCACCTCCTTGTAGAAGGCTGTCAGGTTGGTTAAGTTCCCTTTCGTAAATCCATGCTGAAGTCCAGGATTACACATTGTGTCTTTGCACTGTGGTTGTATTCTCAGTTGTCTCTTCATCAGAAGACAGTATTTAATTTTCTGAAACAGTAAAAACCATGGTCAGAGCCTAAGAGTGTGATGAGTGACAGTGGTAGATGTTTCTTATTCTGTTTCCAGTGTTTCGTAATTGCCTTCCAACGATGAAGTCACATCCCGTTACTAGAATAGTCAGATTGCACAGGGAATCATTCATTTTCAATGAAAGGAAGAAAAGAATAAACAGTTTAGTTGTGATGGGATGAAAAGATTGCTACTTCAAAAAAAAAAAAATCCATCCCACAGCATGTTGGCAGGTTGCTGGGATTATCCAGCAAGGAGGAGGAAAAGCACTGGCAACAAAAAAAGGATTGATATTCTCAATAGCAAAGATGGGATGTTACATTTTGGTAATACTGTTGTTAATGTCCTCCTATCGGTACCACCTATAGAGGGAAGGAGATTCACTTTTTATTATATTTTTCTGAAGACTGAAGTAAGTTGGCAAAAGTTCTCATCTCTGACAGTTAATATCCAGGCATGACCCAAGAGCTTAATTTGACTCTTGTTCTAGACGCTTCAGTCAGCTCAATGTGATGTTCTTGATTGAGATCACCTGACCTTTGCTGAAAATGCTCATCCATGCGAGCATGTGTGTCATCAGCTTAAGGAAACCAGTTTATTAAGTAGATGAATAGTAAATTTGCTGGATGGTGAAAGAATGAATGCATTCCTGGGAAAGTTTTCTTCAAAGCTACCCCTTGAAAGTTCTGGTATTTGTGTTTAAGAACCACAAGCAATGCTCTTTCTCTTCATATTGCTATGGAGGCAACAGTTTCAGGAGCTGTATCTTCCTAAGCAACAGAGGGGAATTTTGTGAGCTTTGTATGAAGATCAAACCAAACCATTACTCCTCTTCTGTGACAGTTCAGCAGGTCACAAGAGAGCAAAGTCTATCTGTTGTAATCTTAGGAAACAGAAGAATCCATTACGACAGACAGAATTGTGGAATTTGGAGAAGAGATTATGGTATTAATCTCCCCAATTTGGGGGAATGTTTTTTGTAAGAGTGGGATTTTTTTTTAGTCTGTTTAAATGGAATTCAGCTGTACAGGTGAGGCAGGTATGACTGAGGCCTCTTTAGGGATATTTCAGAGGAATATTTATTATTTCATATGCTTCCTGATCCCAAAAGAAGAATGGATTTTTCTAGTCCACTACAGAGCTTACAGAAATTGAGCTTGTTTATCAAAAAGTTCAGCTTCCATAGTATTAACACTGGCATAATTTTCTTTCTGCCTGTCTGCCTATCATAAGCTTGAAGCTCATGATGCATACCTCCCTATCTGTCAGAGATTCATTTTGTCGATGTCTTGATTTCATCATATAAGTAAAGCAAGTAAAGCATGGCTTTACTCCTTTATGGAGCAGCAGTTTAAGGCAGCAGGATGTTTACCCCAGTTTGATTTACCAAAACATCTTTTCAGGAGGATCACAGTGATAGTTCAGACTTGCTTCTAACTTAAAAAGTGAGACTGCTAGGAGAAATAAAAAACTGCAAGTTCTGGATTCAAAGAACTACTTTCCAAGGACAAATATTTGTGAAAGTGTTGGCAGTGAGGAGCACACGCCTCAAGAAGCTGCATCAGGTAGTCTTATTCTTCAAGTCATTGATTGAACTTAGTGTTTTTCCCGGTTATGTTCACATCTTGAACGCTGGTTAGTGAATGAAACAACATTATGTTGCTTTCTTTGGGAACAGTCATCTTGTTTCTCAACTAATAGACAATGTCACATGTTGAAAGGAAAAATGTTTTGCTTGCCAGCTTCATCAGCCACAGTGATCTGAGCCATTTTAGTCTTGTGCAGGTGTGTTTGTTTCAGTGATCTTAGTTGTCCATGGACACTGGAAATTGAGAAATAAACTTGTGCTGAAACTAATAGCCCAAGAAGTTGCTATGCAGGTGAAAGAAAAGGTTAAGAGCAAAGTCATGCAGAATAAGGTAAACTCTGTGTCCAAAGGAAGGGCAGTTCTGAAAAGAAGCCAGCTATGGAAGGGAGCAGTTGCACTATGTAACTGGGATCTCTGGCATCATATTCATCCTACAGCCCTGTGTTTTGGGGGAAAATAAACTAGTTTTTATCTCTATAAGAGGAAGAGGCGTTCACAACTACAATTTGCCATTGAAGGCCTCATCAGTAACAACTGAATGTTTCTGGAGATGTCTGGATGTAGTTGCTTGCACCTGGATGTAGCTCACTTTTCCAGAATCATTGCCAAGAACAATGCTGTATTTCTTTCCAGCCAAAGAGTAGAACGTCATGCTATTTCTTCATTTTTCTTTTGTATGAAATCAAGTTACTATCTTGCACACCCTGAGGCAATCAAAATTAGACAAAAGAGTGATCAACAGAGGTTAACACCAGCTGTTTTTCATCAAATACCTTTGTGACTATAAACATAATCCAATAGGATGAGTGCATTTACTACCTGACTCTGCTCTCTGCATTTTTTTAATATCAGTAAGACACAGATGGTTCTCAAGCTGTGCATCAGGCATCACCAAGTATTTTTAAAAATTTCAGGACTATGCCTACAGCTCTATTTACAAGCATATCTGAATTGAATTAGCATCTGATGAATGATCATTTCAGTTACAGCAATGCTATAAATCTATTAAATCTGGAGTTTCTGTCCTGGCTTTTAGAGATGGCAGTACTGCTTATCAAACGGCGCCCTGGATATTGGAATGTAGGGGACTAACAAATATTCCACACAAATAACTCGACTTATTTAAGACAGGCTGTTTATTCACCCATTTTCTATCTTCCCTCCAATCCAAGTGACGGAAACAGAAGCATCCAGAGTGCCCCAATTCTTCTATAGCCTTGTGCTTTGGGAGTCAGGAAGAGCAGGGGGAGATGGGAGCAAGCTGCCCAAAGGGCCCTGGTATGACATTTTCACTGTTAGTTTCGTATCTAGCATGTTTGGTGAGGGAGGATGAGCATTAGCTCAAAGAATTCTGGTAACAAACAAGTGATCTTTACTTTTGGTTGGAATTTTATGAAAATATGGAAAGACAGGTATAACAAAATAATAGTAGAGGGAGCATTAGAAGGATGTGTTGTTTTCCCTCCACCGTTTAGCAGAACTTCCTTATGTTGTCTGTATTCTGTATGTATTTGAAATGTACCTATTTGTCCCAGTGTGCGTAATCCTGAAACCTGTTACTCTTCAGTCTGTCAGTGCTGGTGATGAAACAGAAAAATAAAAGTGTGCTCCAGTAATTATGACCCATGGCCTTTATTGATCTCTTCTGCTTTTTGTGTTATCAAAACTTGGAGCAGGAGAATTTAGAATCTTCAGGAGAATTTGACAACACTGTCTCAGATTAGCTGGCTCGTGCTTCGTCACTGGGGAGGTCTGATGGGTTCTGCAACACATAGGCTATTTTTCAGTTTATGATCAATGTGACTTGGTAAATCAACTGAGCATATACAATTTTAGGTTGCATTCTTCACCATCTGGGGAGTTAAGTCCATCACATCTCTTGAGAAAGTCACCTTCTCCAGCTTTAACTGTAAACTGCAGCAATGTGAGTATGTCACTGCCTGTAAAAATCTGTAAGTAAAAGGTTAATGTCAGATAGCTCAAAGCCTATGTTTGAACCAAATTACCCTGACTTGTGTTTTGTGAGAGAATGTGTGAGGTATTGCCAACTACCTGGCAGCTGTGAAAGTCTTTTGAAAGACGTGACAGCAGCAGAAGTTCCAACCTTACTTATGGAGTCATCAGTTCAAGCCTTAAGGGGCTGTTCCTGAGGCTGAGAGGACTGCAGTCTCCACTCAATTATTATGATCTCTGCTGAAGCTCTACGAATATACTAAATATGAGTGTGATTCATGTGATGAGGACTCTTCTGGATTTGGAATTGCATTAAAACTTTTGTTAAATAACGGTCAGAGAGTAAAAGTGTGAACAGTAAAACTGTTCAGTTTAACAACCTAAACAAAAGACCAGTTCTTGCTTTCTCTCACTTGTATTTTTAATGTTCTTGAAGACCCTTTTAAAAATCTATGCTGTATGTTCTCAGTTTTGAAATGTTTAAAATTTTTACTTTGATGGTATTTCAGTAGTCTTCTAAAAATTGATAGAATATGGTGTTTTGCTAATCTGGTAGTGCTGGTAACACCACAAACTATAACTTCATAGTTATTGACCATAGCTATGGAATAACTAACATATTTTTTACCTGAGTACATTGTATATTGTATATTGTGCACTGTATGAACAAACATTTACTTCTCCATCAGCACTTCTTTGAATGTAAATTTCTTTCCATTTAAAGGCAGCTTATCTTCCCATGGCAATTTTCATTTCCTAACAATACTCTTCCGGATTAGGGATTGCTTTGGCTTCCTCCCTTTTTTATGATCAATTCTCCCATGCCTTACCGCAGGTCTTTCTCTCTGGAGCAGAGTTGGTTGACTTGTATATACTGAACTCCCTAAATCATCCAGTATCTCATCATAAGGATAACTTCATTGTATTCATTGAAGGTTTTTCTTTATTCTGTGCTTTGGTATCCCATTTGTTCCTAAAATGCTTTTGTAAAGCATTTCAACTTTATTAATTTCCTAGTAGAATATACACAAGTCAGGCAAACCAAGAAATCTATCCTGCTAAATTGCATGTATGTGTTACATGAAACAAATAAGGGGGGGGGGGGGGGGGGGGGAAGAAAAGATTTTTTTTTTTCTGATATGTTTGGGTTAGGATGACTTCCATCTCTATTGTTGCTAGCCTCATTTTTCCAAAGTGTAAAAAGTAATTTAAAACTACTTAGATTTTTATCATGATGGTAACAAGATGAAAAATAATAGAAAAGATTTTAGATAGAAAGTTTATAATTCATATAGTTTAATGCATATAGAACATAGGAGGTATGAGGGTCTTTTTTTATTTTTTAGCTAGAATGTGTCGACATTGACAAATATGATGTCGCTGGGAATTTGTAGTTTATGGTACTAGACATGGAAAGTATATACCAGTACAATTTGTTGTGCTGGATTTACTTGCTGAATATTGAATTAGATGCTCAATAAAGCAGATGCCATCACTGTGAAGTACCTTTGACAGATATGTAAGTAACACCTTTCATTTAAGCCAAGTCCAGTGCTATGTGAACTTCTAAAAAAAATTTTAAATGCAGTAGATCTGCCTGTTGATGCATATTTTTCATTTACTCTATTTAGTTCTTAATACTTTGACAGGGATTTATAATGTTTCTGTAATGTAATAATTGTGATTAAATTTAGGGTTTAATTCTGTCCCTTTTACTACTTCTGTTCTTTCAGGTGCCAAATAAAGAGTTGATTCAGTTATGTCCTTCCGAAACAGAAGTTCTAGAGACTTCAGAACCAAACCAGGGTGCTATTCCATTTCCCAATAATGAACCTCTCCTCAGTAAGATTTATTTCTCTTGTGGATATTTTGGGGGTTGCAGGGGAAGACATTTCTGAAAAATGGTGTAATTTTTGAGTGCACCACTTTACAACCATGTATAAATGGTAGAGAGATTTGTATGTCTTAAGATGAGAGGACTCTTAAAACAGATAAGTTATCACTGGAAGGCAAACAGCAAAATTTCATCAGTGATTGAATCTCATGGCAAACATAATATCCTGTAACAGAAGTTTACCATTGCATTCTTGCATGCCACAGTTTTAACTAGGTACTTACTAGTTCTCTCTCCAGAAAAGAGAGGTGGGTAAGGAAAAGTATTTCAGTGCAATGTAAGGGAACTGGTTGTTATTTGTGAACCATTTACCACTTTATCTCTTTCTTAACTGCAAGCTATGAATAGTCAATACAAAGGGCTAGTCAAAATGTTTCAGAAAGATTCCCTCCCCCCCTCCTTCAAGCGTGCACTAAGGCAGCAGTTTGTCTGGAGGTAGGATTCCCTGACCCTGTAAGAGGAGAATGCCATTGTATTATTTTTAACATAAAAGGCAAAGTGCTATAAAAGCAATGTTTATGCTTATCCTGTATTTCAGCTCATAGAAACTTTTCAGTCTCCCTCTTTTATTTCAGTTACTAGAGCTTTATTTATGTATTTATTTATAACCTATAGCTCTCTTCCAGTTTAGCTATGAGACCTTTATATAAAAAAAAAAACCCAAAGGGAAAAAAAAGCTAATCCTCAAATAAGGGTTTTTTTTGGGGGAAAAAAAAATTAAAAAACTAACAACATCTATCCAACATAGGCAAGGAAATGTTTTTCATTGATACTTAAGCTAAAGCATTTTACCTTGTTGTTGTTAAAGGCAAGGGTATAGCGTTGATTTCTAGAGCTAACGCACAGTAACACGTAAGGTTTCAGGAGTTTGTCCGGCATAATACATCAGATGAGAATTCAGGTATGTGGTTGTGTTTCCCACTAAGGTGACACAAGTCGAAAGCAGTTTTCTAATTCGGTGACATGAATTTCACTGCATGGATACAAGTTCTACTAGCTAGCAGTTGGAGGTAGTCCAATGGATCGGCAAGACTTAAGTCGTCTTAAATCAAGTTATGTATGTCCCTATAACTGTCTGCGGACAGCCATTATTTCTATTACTTGATTATCTTTTTTAACATTTAAATGTAAATGTTTGCCTCGACTTCAAAGGAAGGTGCTGTTTGAAAACAAATATGTGTTGAAAGTTACAATATTCTTAATAGTTTGTACTGCATACCTTAATGTTTTAATAATTTTATAGGTGGTAATTCTCAGCTGGACTTTGATGCAATATGTGAAAATGATGACACTGCTATGACGGCTCTTATGAATTACTTGGAGGCTGATGGAGGACTTGGGGATCCAGCTGAACTCAGTGATATACAATGGGCTCTCTAGTTTTGCTTTTGCAAAATAAGAAGAAATGTAAAATCCGTAATGCACAACAACCGTACATCCTCAGTACTGTACTATAATTTTTTAATGTTTCATTTGAATTCATACTTACTGTCTATATATTTTTAAAGACTGAAGTCTTGTTCAGAGAGAGACAGTTTCTGCTGCACCTATGGAAAAATGCAATATTTTTTTCATGATGAGGAATCCTTGAAATTTTAATATTGAACCATCTGTAACTGGAATGCTTAAAACACATTACTGAATTTTTGCTAAGAAGCTTTAACCAAAAGGTACTGTACAATGTACAGGAATATTTTTTCTTAGTTTTAATACTTAAACTTTTATTTATTGTTTTTGTTTCAAATGGTAGAATATTCATTACCCATGTTATTTTCTGTAGAACCTACTGTACTTAGTTTAAGAATATTTGTAACGATTAAATTTCATTGCAATGTTGATTTGCACACACTACAGTTGTACAATAAGGTATTGTAATTCTCAGATGATGCAATTTGTGATTCCTTGCCCTTTTCGGAAGTGCAGTTTTTGTAGTCAAAAGTGAAAATAAAGTGTACAGTTCTGGGAGCAAGGACTTGAATTAGGTCACCATAATGACAAGAAGAGAATGTTTTGAGAAAAATAGTCACTTCCCCAGTACGCAAACATGATAAGGGTATAAGAAAAGAGCAGCAAAATCTTAATTACTATTTCATATTATTTGTAATGTATTATTAGAGGGGCAGTGCATGGAACATAGGAAAAGTAATGCTATAACTGTAATAAAGCACTTGAGTCTCATCACTAGAGAAGTTTGGATAGATTGTCTTGGCTTGAGAGTGAGGCTAGCAGTGTCTATTGGTGAAAAAAATCTTAAAATTCTATAGTATCTTTTATAGCCTGTATGTTTTTGGAGAGATCAGGGTGATCTTCTATTGCTTAAGTCTGTGACTTTTTAAAATATTTGTGTAATATAGTGCTGTCTGTAAGTAAATGCTATATAGGATGATCTTCTTTGGGGGGCCAGCTTTTGCAAGAATTCTATCGCAGTTACAGCAGATTACTCAAGAACATGGCACTTAATAGGTTGTATTAGAACAATACAGCATTAATATATAAAGTGGGTCTTTTTATCTCTGGTATTAAAGGTTTAGACAAATTTTTGCATCGATTATATATCATAAAAGCATAATTTTTCTGTTTTTTTTTAATTCGGGTAATGAAAGGGAAGCATTTGAAGACATTTGATACGTGCGTATATTTTTAATACGGACATTTAAACACAGGCACCGCCATAAGCACTGTTGCATTCGTTTTAACACTAAAGATGAGCGACAGGCAGCCTGTCTTAGATCCTTTTACGAAGGCTGAAGTGTGTGAACAAATAGATGTAGTCGCCACTAGATGTCACACTTCTACTGTTGGATAACTACCCTTTCCTGAAGGAATACATAAATTTGTCATGCACTGACTTCCTATGCTTTGACAGAGCAGCTTTATATCTTATAGATATGAATCGTTTTGCAAATGATGAATTTTCTGGTGGCATCTTGTCCAGGTTTTCTAGAACGGCTTGTTGTTCTGATTTTTTTTTTTTAAGTCTATAGATTTTTTTTTTGTTTCTAACTTGCATGTGATTTCCTGCATTCAAATGTTTTTTTTACAGACATGGGGCCAAAATTATCTGTTATTTAGCTTTATTAGAATAAGCTTTTCTGTTTCTTCACAGAAAACGAATTTTGGGCTATATCATGGAGCAAAGTGGGAAAAAAAAAGAGGTACTTTCTAAGAATTGGTAGAATGCTATTTGTATAAATAAAATTTAAGAATTTAAATTTTTGCCATTGTAAAATGTATTTTCTTTTTTCTATTTTATTCTAGAAATAAATTCTAAATAAAACAAGAAATACTGCAGCTTACACAGATAAATGAGTAAATAAATAACTTAAATTATACAGCCTTTCCTCAACATACTTTCTTTTTTAACTGGATTAGTTTGAAAATGGTGCAGATGTTGTTATCGAAGGAGCATATTTGTTCTTTCACAAGATTTATGTAACCATCTAGAGTCAAACCACTATTTTTGGATTCTTCTTGGACTTCCCTAAAAAATAAAAACAAAAATGTAACTGAGTCTTTTGCAGTCATTGATCAATATTGTGGCTCTCAATTCATTTATTAGATGCTCCCTTTACTGTTTGTGAATTTTTCTGGTTTAAAACAGTCTTACAAGAAAAAGTGTCACTTGTAAATATTTTTGATGAAATTAATACATACTTTTTAATACAGTTGAGATAGTATGTGCTTATTTCTGTTCATATAACAATACAATTCTAGTAAGATATGGACAGGTTTTTTTCTTGGCACGGTGCAGGTTATCAGAGGATGTGGTTAAATCAGGTCAATAAAATGTTATTTTGATGCACAGCTGTTAGTCTGCTGACAGTTCTACCTAATGCTGAATTGAAATACAAAGTACTCATGCTTTCAGATCCCAGGCTCGTTCCCTAAAAATATAAATGGAGAGGTTGAACGAATGTGGATTTGGTAGCTCAAGATAATATTCCCTAGTCAGGGTAACTTCGTAATCCAAACTAACGTGCATTTTCTAGGTACTAAAACCCCCTGATGTTGCAGCTTAATTGGGCCGTCTCTGGAAAGGAGAGTGCCTGTAGGCTGTACCTGAAAGAGCCTGTTGATCAGAAGCAAACAGAGTACATGGATACGATTCTTACAGTCTTGCCACGGGTAGGTATGGTAACTGATAAAGCAGGTGTCAACAGGCTCTTAAAAGCCTTACTAGGTACCGAGGTTGTACTTGGAGATGGGTCAACTGATTTGTTACTGCAGGCACATACAGAGTTAAAGATAAGAAAATCTTGATGGGAGAGGAGTTCTGATATAAGCAGCAGCTTATTTGGGAAACCAGTTCCTGTGTTGACAGGAAAACATGAGAGAATTCTTTTCAGAATTAGGAGAAGAGACTAAGAATGTGGTAGAGACAAATACCAGCTGGGAATTGTTGGAATGAGAAAGTGATCTGGCTGGTAATAGTTGGCTATCACCAGCCTGAGTCAGATCAGAGGTAGACTGCAGGAAGGCCTGGACTGCCACGTGGCACACAGGATTAAAACAGTGCTTCAGAATACCATCATGTCTTACAGTGGTGAATCATGAAGATGTCAATATATTAAACCTTAACTTTTGCATTTCCTGTAACAGTATTTGACAGTTGCTGTTGTGCGGGCAGGGGGGATCCTTTCTGTGCTTTTTCGGGTGTAATTGCTTCTTGGGATTCCCTTGGAGTGTTTAGTCAAGTATGGTGCTATTGCATGGGTCTAGAGCAGAGCTTCAGTCCATGTTTCTTTCCTGTGGTGCACTGCAGTTCCGGACTTTTCTGCAGATCGTATGCTTTTTTTAGAGTATTGGAAAATTTGGTTTATTCACAAGCACAAAAAGCTAAAATTAGTCATTTCAGTGGTTGCTGACAGTAGTGTGTTTCTGTTCATGATCCAAACTGAAATGAAGAGTTTATTCCTGCATAAATGATGCTGCTTCTTCCTAAGCCCTGACTTCTGGCCTCTTTCACTTAGTCTTTTTGCTTCCTTTTTGTAGGTTGACATACATCATGTAAATTCATAAAATGTCCTGGAATTTCAGGAAGTAATCATCAGCTGGAAAGCTTTGTGCCATTTAGGACTTCTCTGAAGATGATAATTTTATTCCCCATCCCTGATGAGAATTATTTTGTTCTGTACAGATATGGAGGTGAAGAGGATACTTGAGGTTATAGGTTCTTGCAGGTTAAAAGATGTAAAACCATGCTTCAGAGCAGCAGAATTAGAGGATCCAGGAAAAAGTCAAGTGGAGTGGTGAATGACCTGCTGAAATACAGCTGCTGCTACTGTGGCACATTCTGCGTGTACCTCATTTCTAGAAGGTTCGTCTAGATCCCCTTTACCGTGACAGGTGGCTGTCATGACTAAATTTTCTGGGTTGTTCCTGGCTTAATTGCTTTCAGAAACTTCCTATCTTCCCGGTGAGGAAAAGACATAATTCCTGAGACATGACAAAAATTCTCATGTCCCTTGGAAGTAGCCAGTTTTACTGGTGCGGATCCTGTCTCCATAGCTCTTCTTATTCAAGATCCCGTGGAAGAGCTGCCAAGCTATAGCAGCCTACTACATTTAAAAAAAAAAAAAAAAATTAAAACAATTAAGAGCCCTGAGAGCTGTGTGTATTATGTGTCAGCTTCTGTGACGTGCTTTTGTTAAATGGGAGAGAAAAGGGAATAAAGTACCTCAGCATGCCCAGTTTATTAAAGGATAAGTTCATACATATGGGCAGTTACTACACATAACTTTTTATCCTTCAGTTGTTTTCATGTCAAAACCTCTAGAAATAAAACACAATCTTTGGAAATCATAAAAAGTTTCATGGGAAAGGATCTTCCTTGTTTGTTGCTCTCACAATGCTGGCCCTGTCTGGGTAGTAGAAGTTTTCTTCCCCAGCATTTGCAGATCCTGAGCGTACATGACCTGACATCAATAATCTGTCCCACAAAACTTAAGGAACCTTGATACAACTGAGAGAAAATAACGTAATTAATAGGCTCTTCTGTAACAATGAAGTATATCGGTGTGTTTCTAGAAGGGACTGTAAAGTGAGCAGCAGAGCTTTGAACAATACAATATCTCGGGTAATATGCAATGCTTTTAAACAACAAATCTGACTTCCACGATTGCTTCTTTCATAAATCTTACAGGTAGGGCTATATCATAAGAAGACAATGCTACTGGGGCTTTAGTATTTAGACAAAGTAATTTAAGATGAGTTCCTAAAAATTCTTTGATAGGAATGGTTCCATCCTTAGACTTCATCTTGTCAAAATAGGATGATAAGCAAATTGGTTTCTTAATCCCTCATACTTTACATACATTTGATTTGCCAGGTCTTTAAGAATACTCTTTTTTTTTTCTGGACAAATATAGTTGCAGTATCAGATAATGTTTTTGTTATCGTTGAAGAGATGGTAAATCTCTTAAAAAAAAAAAAAAACAAAACCAAAAAACCCCAAACAAAACCACCAAAACAAAACACCAACACAAAGCAAAACAAAAAACCAGGCAGGTGAACTTAGTGTTGTTTCAGCAAGACACAGTCGGCTACTAAACACTTGTTCTGAAGAGCTCCGGGCTGGTTGCACTTCATTCTGCGTGGAACGTAAGAGCAGCTACGGTGTTTAAGACTGCCCCTTCTGCTGCGGGCAGCAATGGACATGGGCTGGCTCCTAAAGACAGTTAAGAATAGGATAAGCACAGCAGCTGCTTCGACCGCTTTCAGCTCAGGGGATTTCCTGAGCTTGATTTGGTTTGTCCATTTGGTAAACCCTGAAGGATGTCTGTTCCAAGTGTGTCTGTTTGACCACCCCTCCACTGAGCCCGTGGAAACTACCTGTATCCGCAGACTCCTTCAGCAGGGAGTGCCGCGGGCCGCCTCCCTATTGCAGGAAGAGCCACTTTTCTCTGTTCCGCCTCCTGCTAGCTTCATCTGCAGGTTACTGCATTTGTGGATCGCTGCTTCTCGTACTGGAAGAGGCAACAAACCGTTGTTCTTACCTTCTGTCTCTATGCTACTCGTGATTTCTTAGGTTTTTATGACAGCCCCCCTTTATGAACCCCCAGCTTTAAAACTTTTTAAATCATACAGTTCTACAGAGCTGTCTTGCTCGTGGTTTATTATAGTAATTTACAGCATGCTCCTAGATAGTCTTTAAAAAAAAACCCAAAACACCCTGTATTTAGTTTCCTGCAGTATGTTTTAACTCTTGGGGCATTTTGTATAGAGGTTCTGTAAGGAACTTGAATTTTCCAGTATAAAAACATGTGTTGTGTATTTCAGAAATCAGAGGTCATTATTTCAGGGTTCTTACAGTTGCGTTGGTAGAAAGCCATGGGAAACACTCCAATGTTGTGGGAGTTTGCAGATAAACAGAAAGATCAAATGGAGTGAAACTCCAGATACAGTTGCAGGAAAAATATACATTTTTTCACAAAAAAAAAAAAGGACAGTCAGGACAACTACTTATACAAATAATCTAAAATGCAATTCTATACCATGCTACAAGCAAGATGCTTGTATGAGTGGGGCTGTGGCATGCTGCTCCGTCAGTTCCTTTGTGATAAAGCAAAGGCGGCTGGATTGTTTGTTCTTCTCTATCTCCATCTTTGCCGTTTTTGAACCAAGTATTTAGTGATTCTGGTAAGCTTTCTTATCACGATCACTTTAATGGCGTTTCAGATTTGAAGATAAGCGTAAGGGTTAGTAACTTTAAAAATGGTGAAGAGGATTACTGATAGCAGTCTGAGGGGAAAATATTTTCAAGTGGATTCTTTTCCTGCTGAGGCTAGTATGCAGCTGCTGCCTTTTCAGGCAGTCACTGAATAATCAAACCCGTTTCAAAATTGTTGAATTTGGGTTTCTACGGATTATCTGAACAGAATTTGAAACTTCACCTTATTTATCTGGAAGGAGTTGGGCACAGTGCTGAGTGGAACTTGCCCTGTTGGAACAGCTTGTTTGTGTTAGTAAACATGATCCTTTTTAGAAGGACCGCAAGTTACCGTTTCTAACTCCTCATCTTGCTGCTTTCAGCCTGGTTTTGGTACCTTGCTTTAATCAAGCTAAGGTGTTAAGACAGGGTAATAGGAAATAAGGCTTTCAAAATTAGAGACATTTGCAGTCTTGATGACTGTCCCACTCAAATACAGAGTCAAAGTTGTTCAGGTATTTTTGGAACAAGAAATTTGGAAGAT